TGGCCCATCCCTTCATTTCCCATAAGGGATACTTTTAGTTAATTTAATATCTATAGAAACAGTGCTAATGACGGGTTTGCTGTTAATAAATATGTGGATAAATCTCTGTTTGGGGCTCTCAGCTCTGAAGACTGTGAGACCCCTGATTTCCCACTTCACGCCTCTATATTTCTGTGTGTGTGTCTTTAATTCCTCTAGTGCCACTGGGTTAGGGTCTCCCCGACCGAGCTGGTTTCAGCAAGTGGCGTCCATTCATGGGGGCTCGAATCCAGGTCGAGGGGTCGCTGGAGTGACGGTTGGAATGGAAAACTAGCTGGAGGACACCGAAGTACTCTTAAAGTAATCCCCGTGGTGAGTAAGAAGGGGAGCTCAGAGGCATCAGGGTAACAATGGGACAGGTATGGGGTCTGGTTTGTTTCATCTTGGAACTTTTTCACACTGATTATGAGGAGGAACAAGAGTATAGTGAAGTAACAGAAGAGGTTACAGAGCATGTTCATTTGCCAGCTAAAGTGAAAGCGGCAAAGGAAGGAGAGGTTCATCCCTACCCTTCTGCACCCCCTCATTATTATTTTGAAGAAAATGACCCCCCAGATCTTTCTTTTCTGGAGGACACTGGGTGAAAATAGTTGCCTCAATGACTTCTCAAGTAGCACCTTGAGCGACTGCTCTTAGCTCTATTCAGGCAGGAATTCAGCAAGCTAGACAAGAGGGTGATTTAGAGACTTGGCAGTTCCCTGTTAGAATACACCCCCTAGATCAACAGGGAAATATTTTCTCGTTGTGTTTGTTTCTTTTTTTTTTTTTTTTTGAGACAAAGTCTCACTCTGTTGCCCAGGCTGGAGTGCAGTGGTGTGATCTTGGCTCACTGCAATGACTGCCTCCCAGGTTCAAGTGATTTTTGTGCCTCTGCTTCCTGATTAGCTGGGATTACAGGTGTGTACAACCACACCTGGCTCATTTTTGTATTTTTAGTAGAGATGGGATTTCGTCATATTGGCAAGACTGGTCTCAACTCCTGACATCAAGTGATCTACCTGCCTCCACCTCCCAAAGTGCTAGGATTACAAGCATGAGCCACTACACCCAGCCTGTCTTTGGTTCTTGACAGTTATTTTGTGTCTAGGTATTGGCCTCTTTGCGTTTATTCTACCTGGAAGTAATTGAACTTCTTGAATATGTACCTTAACATTTTTCACAAATTTGGGAAGCTTTTGACCATGATTTTTTCAAATATTTTTTTCTGCCCTTCTTGTTTTAGGACTCTAATTATGCATATGTTGATATGCTTGATAGTGTCCCACAGATCTCTAAGGCCGTATTCATTATTATCTTTTCTTCTTGTTTCTTGTACAGAATAATCTCAATCAAACTGTCTTCAAATTAACTGATTCTTTCATCTGCCTGCTCAAATCTGCTGTTGAGCCTCTAGTAAAATTTTCATTTTAGTCATTGCACCTTTCAACTTCAAAATTTGTTTGCTCTTTTAAAAAGAGTATTTATCTCTCTACTAATATTCTCTTTGCTGAGATGGCTTTCTTTTGCTGTTTTTAGTTATTTGAAAATACTTAAAATAGTTGACATAAAGTCTTTGTTAGTCAGTCTAATTTATAGACTTTCTGAGAAACAGTTACTTTTGATAGGTTTTTTATCCCTGTGTAAGGGCCATACATTTTTGTTCCTTTGCATATCTCATAACTTTTTTTGTTGAAAGTTGGTCGTTTTAAATAATGTCAACTCTTAAAATCAGATTCTTCCTCCTCCCAAGAGTTTGTTGTCATTGCTGTTTGTTGTTGTTATTATTGTTCTGAACTGATTTTGTACAATTTGTATTCTTTGTTGTATGTGACCACTAAAGTTTTTGCTCAATTTGTTTAGTTATCAACTAATGATTGGACAAAGATTTCTTTAAATGCCTGTAACTAATATGCCTCCCAGACTTTAATGATGGGCTCTGTGTATATGTTGAGGTACGCCTTTAATACCCAGTCGGGGAGTTGACAACTGCCTTACCCTTTGCTTTGCATTTTGAGCCTCAAAGTTAGCCAGAGGTGAAAGCTTAGGGCCTTTTCAGGTCTTTCCTAAGCATACCCACAGCCACGAGGTCATGCCCATAGCTGGACATATGCATGTAGCTTTCTAGATTTTTAACGATATGTGAAACTTTTGAAGCCCCTATTGACATCTCATTCCCTGGATTCTCCTTTTAAGCTTTTTATTTAGCCTGTTGTTCACTCTGTTACCTAGGCAGCTGTGATGTTAAACAATTGCCTCTAACTGTTTTCAACAAATGTCCCGGGAGTGGGTACTTTTCACACAGAGTAAGTGCTGAATCTGATCAAATAAAGACAGCTTTGCAGGTGAGGTCTTTGGGAGAACCACCAGACAGGTTAAATAATTACTGTTCTCCGAAACTGAGACTTTGAAAGACTAGTTTTCATTAAGATTTTGGAGCATTGGTTTTCAAGGCTACTACAAAGCTGGAGATGGGGGAGATGAGAATAGGCCACATTAAAACATCACAAAACTTGCTGTTCCTACCAAGATTCCAGCTCCCCAATTGCTGTAAGTCCTTGATTAATTTCCAGAATTCTTAAAAATTGATTCAAAAATTTTAGACAGATTTCTTGGTGCTCTTATGAAGGAAAGATATTTTGGAGGCTCCCACTCCTCTGTTTTGCAGATGTCACTTTCTTTTATTTGTTTATATTCTTATTTATAGGTTATTCTAATGTTACTGGTAATTAAATACACTGTATTATCTATATATGCATATATTATAAGACTATAGTTAAGATCATTTTATTTCTTATTACTCTTTTAGGTATTGCCATAAGTAAACCTTTGTTCAGAGTGCAAACTAAGCTACCTTATACTGCATTTATTATTACATCCACCTACCCAGTCAGCCAGCCATGAAGCAAAGATCCATTGAGCATCTACCATGGTCAGGTCTATATGCTATAATTCCAGACACTGGTAGTGAAAAATATTTGGAAAGTGAAGAATTCTTAAGTATTTTAAAGAAAAACCAAATATTAAATTTTTTGGCTCACATATCTCTGAAAAATCTAATGTCACCTTTAGAGTAAGGGATTTGAGAGCTAAACATTTAAGACAGTGTGTAAAGTAAAAAAGTAGAAAATGTTCCTAATTAGTATGTCCTAAGAGAAAGATTAGAAAATGGTCAAATATAGGCCCTTGGGTTTATGAGCTCAAAGTCTATGAAACCAGTCTATTAATGAATAAAATATCTTTTCCTGATTAAATATTATATTTAATTAAAATATTTTATTTTTTAAAAAATTTACTGATGGTATAACCAAGGAAATGAGATTCTAGGTTGAATTCTTTTCTGAAGTCTGAGACATTCATGTCAATTAAATTAGTTTGTTTCCCTTCTTCTTTCCATAGAAAAGTAAGGAAAATAAATGATGAATTATAAACTAATCCCTCCTCAAACTCCAAATTGACAGCAGTAGTGTTAATAATAGTCAATTTCATGTCAAGAGGAAAGCTTAATATAATTGAAATGGAAATGAGTGTTTAAAATGTACAAACCTTTTCATATGTTTTAAGCAAATTATTTATTTTAGTATGAATGTTTGTGCTCTTTGTGGGGAACACACTGTTTGTTTTGAATGCCATTTTTTTCCGTAGGATAATTAGTGTTCATCTGAACTTATTGAATTAACATTTTTTATATCTAAATGAGATCAATGAACATTTTTATTTCTTCTCTTTCTTTTGGGCTCAGTTAACCTTTAACATATTATTATTTAATATTGAAAAAAATACCCAACTTTGCCAAGTAAGCAAGGGATTTTGTTGCATAAACAATACAGTTTTTCTGCTTACCTGATATAGCCAGACATGTTTTTCAATATTAAATAATATATTAAGAGAGAGACTGAGGAGAGAAATGACAACTTGACATAAATGATATAAATGTGCCAGATTCTTGGCTGCACACTCTAATCTATAGGTACATTATTTGAGGTAGCAAGTCAAATGTTCTTGCCTGTGAGAGTGGGAGGATTCTGAATTCATATAATAGCAAGGAGTTCAGTGTCACTGAAGTTATCACTGCAAATGGAAGAGTAGAGAAATAAGGCTTTTTAGGTGTCTAAACAAGGAGTTCAGATTTTTATTGTCTAGGAGATGAAGAACTATTGGTGGATTTTTGAGCAGTGATGGAACATGGTCATTTGCAGGGAAATAACATTCTTGGAACTCTGGAGATAAATTTGATCAGGCAAGACCTGCCTTTAGAGGTCTTAATCTTATGCCAATTTTTTTTGGGAAGATGCTCACAGGGTCACTCTGCAAAACTTTTCCAGCCAGATCCCCAAATTAAAGTTATTCCAATGAGAATATAGAGAATAGTCTAGGTCAGTTACATAAACCAGTTTGGACTTTGAAAAATGAAGTGTCCTATTTTTATACATTGCTAATAAAAACAACAAGCTTATGACTGCTTTCTAAAAATTCTAGGTAACATCGAAACTTCTGTATTGTTTTAGTTTCTAGTATATTAACAGTTTTTGTTTTTAGAATAGTTCAAAGAAAGGGGCACCATTTCATTTTATATTTTCCATCTGTAAAGTAATAAAGAACTGTCTACATTTCATATAGACTTTGATTTCATCTTTATGCAACTCCCATGAGCAGGTATTATTATCCTTATTTTAAAACTAAAGAAGCTGATTCCCAGGTTAAGCAACTTGGCTTTCATTACAGAAAGAGCTGGAATTTGAACCCAAGTCTCTCCAACATCAAAATCCTTTCTTTCTAATATATCACCCTTCTCCTTGACAGCACTTGTATAGGTGGAATGTTGTTCTTCCTCTGTACACCTTCTTTACAGAGCATTTTCTTCATGTTATCTAAAGGTATGGTACAAATTAAAAACCTGTGAATCTCTGCATTAGGATAATTCAGCTTACCTAATTGTTTAGGTCACGTAGCCCCTTGTTTCCTCCGTAATAATAGAATAAAGAAGAGCCAGAGGAGCTCTGCTTTCCAGTGACTTACATCACTCTGCAGACAATTGGCAGCCAGGAGACGGGCAGCTGCCACACTCTTCAGATTTCTCTCTATTTAAAGTTCAAAGAGACGCTGGATAACAAAAGAAAGAGGTAAGCGTGGCCTGACCTAGCCACCCACCAACAGGAATAATGGCTGAAAAAGGTAAGATTTAAGGCATTGGATTCTCTTGGCAAAATAAAAAAGGCTTCTTGACTTTGGTTTAGTTATGTTTCTTGGTGTTTCCCAGTTACTCTAAAAAATGTGGCTTCTATGCTAAATGACCATTAACCATATATGTTAGTGTGGCTGCAAAAATGCATTAATTATGTAATTTGTGGATCAGACCTATAGGTTATGAAAATTTTAAAATGACCAACAAAGCAAAAGAGCTTAATTTTGTTTATGCTTATTTTGAAAGGTGAGTTAAAAATCAGCTCTGATTTCAATTCTGAGCCAGAATTGAAGACAGTTAAGTTCTGTGTCAGATCTGCTAGTAAATGGCTATGTGAGTTTGGAGAAGTCCCTATACCTCTCTAAGTCTGTTTTCTGACAGTAAAATGAGAATACTGGGCTCAGTCGTCTGTTCCACATCTAACATTTTTGTTCCACGTCTAACTTTTTTCTTGTTTTTAAACATTTTTTGTATTTATATTTTATAGTTATATAAAATAATTGATTCCAATTTGTCAAAATAGGTTGAATATATACTATATCTAAGAAATAGCTTTTAAATATTTACAGGGATTTTTGCTTTGAATCTTGACAATGACCTTCTGAAATATGCATATCATCATCGTGCCCATTTTATAGATAAGAAAACTGAGACACAGCAGTTTAGTAAGTTGTTCATGATCACTAAAGAGTGGTGGCACCAGGTGTTTAACCTGGACCGTCTTTTCCAGAGTGCAATGTCTTCAAGAACAGTTCCAGCTGTAACTACTTTGACATGCTCAAAACTGGACAAGAGAGAAGCATTTTACAATTACACTTCATATTTAAAAAGATGTTTTGTTCTTATTTGTGCTAGTAATGTAAGTGACATATGCTAAGTATGTTGTGCTCTTACATATTTCTGTTTCCAAACAATTCCACAGGTGTTACTAAAGTTGAAAATATTAGTGCTAAAAAAACACTAATGGAATGTATACTTTGAGTGTTAAAATGCACAGTTAGTGCAACTGTTACTATTTTACAAGGAAAATAAATAATGAGATACTGACTTTCAAGGCTTTGTGATATGTAAATTTTATTAAAATACGCACATATAAAATATAAATGCACAATTAAAGGGTTAATATTAATTTTCAAGTTCTTTGAAATTGAGAAAAATACAAAGCCACATACATAGACAGTTCAAAAAAATTACTGCTATGTACTTCCATTGTGGTGGTACCTTAATTCATAAAAAGGCTTTCGTCCAAATGAGAGTAAAGGACATCTCATGTTGTTTGCTTTATCCTTAAGCAATACCACATGTCAAGTAAAGAGAACAGTTTTCCATTTAGTGCTTAATGCCTTATACAAGGTCACAGTGAGATGGAGAAACAAGAAAAGCACGTTGAATTTTGTCAGTTAAGAGAGACTCTAGCATTCTTGGAAAAATAGAAGTATTAAAATTCATTTCAACTTCAGAAAGTTTGCTTTTATAAGAGTGTCTTCTAATTTTAAATGTGTCTCATCTCCTGATGATTTTATTTTAATAGCATTTTTAAAAATTTCACGTTTTAAAGTGATGGAAATTGTAATAGGAGTATAACTGCTAAGAATATGTATTGTCTCTTTTAACTAATGGCATAAGATCTAACTGTGTTTTGCAGTTAAGAATATATCTGAGTCCTTAACACAGGGACATTAATTCTATAGAATGTTTTTCTGTGATCTTTCTAAATCTTTTTGTGTGATGCATGTGTGGATTTCTTTGTGTGTGCATGTGTATGTTTGCTTGAAAGAACAAGAATTAAATGCAGTGAATACTTGTAAAAAGATACTTGTATAAATTGCTTTTTACAGGTAAGAGTACAAATAGGAGGCACAGGAGGAATCATGTATAACAAACGCCATTTATATGTGTGTTGGATTATTACTGCCCATTGATTCAGGTTCAGTGCTGGTTGTTATAATGAATAATTTTTAAACAATAGAAATTCTTTTCTGTAGTCAAGAATGGTTATATAATGTATGATACTTTCCTTTTCCCTGTGATATTTAAAATTACATTCGGCTATGGAGGCCAAGAACAGTGCTCAACACCTTTCCCTGTGTTATAATTATTTACTTCAGTGGAAATTGTCTCAGAGTTGTATTAGATTGTTTTTTATTTAAATAGCTGCTGTATGTATTATTGCACAAATGCATGGATGTGTTCTGTATACACTAAACACACACGGTGGTTAGAGTTTACAAAGCTTTGCACATATGTTATGTCATTTGACCTGCAAAACTACTTCCAGGAAGTAGATAGCACAAGTTTCATTACTGATATTTTACCAATAGGAAAGTTCAAGCTCAGAATTGCCCAAGGTCACATAACAGTAAAAGATCCGTGGTTTAATTCAAAATACCCAGGATTTATGACAGTCTCATGTATTCTCTGTAGAAAAGAAAAAATAATTATGTATGGGTATAACTAGAGAGTGTATGCTTTTTTTCTTAATCTTACCAGATTCCTTTTATGCTCTTGACTCAGAAAATTCAATACTAAAAAGACCAATATAATCCGTTTTCTACTGTTTATTTTAAAGCAGGATCTACATTTTCACACCTTCTGGTTCCTATTCTTCTCCTGATTGGCTGGATTGTGGGCTGCATTATAATGATTTATGTTGTCTTCTCTTAGAAAGGTAAGGGTTTTAATAATTGAAGGGTTTATTTATAGTCTAAATTACTCCAGAAATAATTTTTTCTATTTTACTAATGGAATGTTTTGTCATTCAGGCAAGAAGATATCACATTGACATCATTTAGAAGAATTAAGAAAACTATGAACATGACTGATTATTAAATGTCTCATGTTAAACAATGAAATGTTTGACATCACTTTACAAACTTGGATTATAAACTGTACTTTGGTGTGCCTAAGAATTTCTTCAGGACAATAAGAAATTATGAGTGAATTTATATTCTGAGTGAGAAAAATGTTTAGCTATGATGAAAAATGCATGTCATTAAAAAAGTTTGATAAATTTAATCACATTACAAAAAATTCTCCCCCCTACCCTCTGGAAAAAACTATAGAGAAAGTTGGCTAAGGCTGTGCACGGTGGTTCATGCCTGTAATCCCAGCACTTTGTGAGGATCCCTTGAGCCCAGGAATTGGAGACCTGCCTAAGCGAGAGAGACAGACTCCATCTCTACGAAAAAAAAAAATATATATATATATATGGGCCAGAGATAAAAACAGACAATTCATAGAACATATACTGTAAAAGTACACTTACTTAACCTCTTGTTCGCAAAAAGAGAAATGTAATTAAAACTACACTGAGGAATCATCGCTCACTTATCAGATGGGAAAAAAAATAAAGATGTTTGACAACATATGTGTTGGTAAGGCTGTGTGCAATTAGGCATTCTCATACATTGTCTTTGGGAATTCAAAATGCTATATTTTGGGGGATGTTTGGCGGTACATATCTATCAAAATTATATACGTATTTAATTTTTGACTCAGCGATCCGTCTTCTAGGATTATGGCAATTTCCACAGGTATATGAGCAAAAATAGAAAATGACTTATATACAAAGCTATTTATTCTGGCATACTCTGTTTAGCAAAAACCTGGAAATAAGCCAAATATCTTTTAAGAGGGGATTAACTGAACAAACTGTGGTATGTCTACATAATGTAGTACTTATGCAGCTGTAAAAAGGAATGAAAAGGATTTTTAGATACTGGTATGATGAGATCTCCAGGACAAAGTGTTAAGTGAAGAATCTAGCTATAGGACAATGTGTGCTACCTTTTATATGAGAGAAGAAGGGGCTATACCAATGTGTACATGTATTTGTTGAAATTAAAATATTGTGAGGAGAAACAAATGGAGGCTAGATATCTCTGAATATGTCTTGCTTTATAGTTTTTATTTTTGGAATCATATAGCTATTTTATAAGTTAAAAAGAAAAAAATTATTTCTCAAAATTTAAAACAAACTAAGGCAGATCTGATAGTATATCAAGTTGTGGCATAACCACACAGAGAACAGACATCTTTCATGCATCTTTATAACATAGCATATTTGACTGTACACCTCTTATGGGGTAAAAATCTTAACCACATTCAGTAGTCTTTTTGTTCATGGTAATATTGATATGGTTTGAAATTAATATCATCAGCATAAAACTCAAGTAAATAATTGGTGATATTAAATCTGAACTGCAAATATCAGTATAAACTAATTATTTTTCTTCTTCTAAAACAAAGAGTCTATTCAAACTCTGTCCACTGGAAAAAGCCTGGGAGGAAGGAGTCCAGTCTGTAAGTCCAGTCTCCACTCAAAGGAGGCAGGGATCCCTACCCTAGCCTAGGGCAGAAAATGTACAATGTAATCTGCAATTTCATACTGAATGGATTAGTCTGATTATACCTGAACCCACTGATTAATTTAACATCACCAAAAATATTACAACTCAACATTGTGTTCCTTCTGATAGGAGATGGTAGAAAGTAGAGTGCCACCTATGAAGTATTCTTGCCAAAACAAGTGAACCTGAAGCAGAACAAGTTTCTGGATCTATCTAAGGCTACTCTAAACAAAATCATGAAGATATATTCTGCCAAGTCCAAAGTGTGGAAAATTATAAAGGACACATAATCCAGTTTTTCCAACAAATAACTAGCATTAAAAAGTGAGGTGGTTCACGCCTGTAATCCCAACACTTTGGGAGGCCGAGGCAGGTGGATCACCTGAGACCATCCTGACCAACATGGTGAAATCCCGTCTCTACTAAAAACACAAAAATTAGCTGGGCGTGGTGGCACATGCCTGTAATCCCAGCTACTCGGGAGGCTGAGGCAGGAGAATTGCTTGAACCAGGGAGTTGGAGCTTGCAGTGAACTGAGATCATGCCACTGCACTCCAGTCTGGTGACAGAGTGAGACTCCGTCTCAAAAAAAAAAAAAAAAAGAAGTGAGGTGGGAAAGGAGAAACTATTATAGAAAAAAAGAGACTTAAAATGATAGCCAACAAATGAATCAACAACAAAAGACACATTTTTGCATGTCTGTGATAAAGATATTAAAGAATTGTTATTAATTCTAGACATTACATGTTAGGGTTTGAATATGGTTTGTTTTTCTCCACCAAATCTCATATTGAAATTTAATTCCCAGTGTGGCAATTTAGGGAGGTGGGGCCTAGTGGCAGGTGTTTGGGTCATAGGGATGGATCCCTCATGAATGGCTTGGTGCCTTTCTCTTGGTAATGAGTGAGTTCTCACTCTCTAGAGACTAGGATGGCTCCTTAGAAAGTGGGTTGTTATAAAGCCGGAATGCTCCTTGGGCTTGGCCGCTCTTCACATATGGCCACTTACCTGTTGACCTCTGCCATGTTTGACTCAGCACAAAAACCTCACCGTAAGCTGAGCAAGATGTCAACACCATGCTTCTTATACAGCCTGTGGAATGAGCTTATTAAATCTCTTTTCTTCATAAGTGACCCAATCTCAGGTATTTCTTTCAGCAACACAAAATGGACTAAGACACTATAATAATGACTTGGAATAGAAAAGGCTCTTATCTGTTAGAGAGAATATTGAAATAATTGCTGGTTAGATATTAGGATATCTTTACCTTAAAATATTCCTATAGACAACAAACTAAAAAATGAAGTGGGGAACATTAAATAAGACAGGCAAAATGTTGACATTTGCTTAAGACGAATGATCTCACAAGGATTTATTGTACTCTTTATTCTACTTTTGTGAATATTTAACTTTTTTTTTTTTTTTTTTTTGAGACGGAGTCTCGCTCTGTCGCCCAGGCTGGAGTGCAGTGGCGCGATCTCGGCTCACTGCAAGCTCCGCCTCCCGGGTTCACGCCATTCTCCTGCCTCAGCCTCCCGAGTAGCTGGGACTACAGGCACCCGCCACCTTGCCCAGCTAGTTTTTTGTATTTTTTAGTAGAGACGGGATTTCACCGTGTTAGCCAGGATGGTCTCAATCTCCTGACCTCGTGATCCGCCCGTCTCGGCCTCCCAAAGTGCTGGGATTACAGAATATTTAAAAATTTTTATAAGAAGTTTCCTTTTTCCTCCCAGTGACTCTGTGTTGCAAACCGTAACTAATAAAAGTAAGCAAAATTACATAAAATAAAACATAGTGCTGTTCCTGAACCTCACCCTGGGAGATTCTGATTCAGCAGGTGTGCACTGGGACCAGAAATCTGCATTTTAACAAATTCCTCCAGGGATACTTGGGCACACTAAAATTTAAGAACCGTTGTTTTAGAGAAGTGGTGCTCAGACTTTAGTGCACATCAGTATCCTCTAGAGAACTTGTTAAAACACAGATACAGATAGCTGGACATCATTCTCAGAGTTTCTGATTCAGATCTGGGGTGGAAGCCTATGAATTAATTTCTAACAAGTTTTCAGGTAATGCTGCTGCTGCTTCCTTGGGATCTGTATTTTGAGAACTGCTGTTCTAGAAGGGAGCTGATTTCTTCCTCATAACTTTCACAATATCTTCCATTTGATTAATTTCTCTACATAAATTAATCCTTATCGAAAAGTTAGAAAAAGCTTTTGCTCTATTCATTGATTCTGATCTTTTAAACTTGGCTAAACACTTCAAAAATGCTTCTTAAATATATTTAGAGAAATATTTACAAAATTTAAGCAGAAAATGTGTGCAAAATTAGGCTCAACTCATTTCCTTAATGACTTGTCCTAATTTAAGTTTTCTCCAGACCTGAGAAAACCTAACTGACCTTCAATCAGAGGTCTTGCTGGAGTTGACTCCTACAGACTTCTCGAAGTTGATTGTTAATATCTTCAGGAATTTTGTATTAGTCAGTGTCTCATCTGTAGCTTGAAACTGGTCATGGAGGAGTATGTACACCACAAAAATCAACAAATGCTATATATTAGGACCTGTTTTGCTGAATCTCCAGCTCCTAAACATTTACCAGCACACCACTGCCTTGAATCCCTTTGTCTGATACTTACACAGGTTTGTCAGGGATTCAAGACCAGCCACTTTTGAAAAAAAATCTTCTTGAGGTAATTAGAAAGATGATCTCTTCATTTACTTGAGCTTGTTTTGTGCTATAGACGTTAATGAGAAATCTGTGAAAGCTATAAGCTCTCCCAGAAACCAAACGTTCATAAAACATTGCAATACTATTTAAGGTGTTTATGGACTTTCTGAAATCTACAGAAAAGACACCTCGGGTTAAGTAACTCCTTAAGTGTTTCCTACTTTCTGAAGCCTTTAGGCTTTTTCACAACTTGGCTCCAGTTTCACCTGGAGTTAAAGAGATGACCTCATATTTAAGCTTTCTTTCTAGATAAAGACCAGTTTTTCTTTTATCCCTTTTTAAAAACATTATTATTTATTGATTTATTTTAATGGACAAAAAAGTATTTATGGTGTACATGATATTTCAATATATGTATAAATTATGGAATGACTAAATCAAATTAACATGTATGTTATCTCACATAATTATCCTTTTGTGGTGAGAACATCAAAGTCTACTCTCTTGCCCCAGTCAATGGCACATGCCCATAGGTCCTAGCTACTTAGGAGGCTGAGGTGAGAGGATCACCTGAGGCCAGGGATTTAAGCCTTTGGTGCATTATCTTCACACCTGTGAATAGCCACTGCACTGCAGCCTGGGCACCACAGCAAGACCCCGTCTCTAAAACAACAACAACAACCACCACCAAAACTACTCTCTTAGCAATTTTTAAGTACATGATACATTGTTATTAACTATAATCGCTGCATTGTGCAATGGATCTTCTGAACTTATGTCTCCTGTCTAACTAAAATTTTGTATCCTTTGACCAACATCTTGAATCCCCACCCACTCCTCCCTCAGACCCTGACAACTACCATTTTATTCTCTGCTTCTATTTTTATTTAAAATAGAAGTTCAATTAGAAAGTTAAATAAAATAGTTCAATTTTATTTAAAATCCACATGTAAGTGATATAATTTGGTACTTATCTTTCTGTGCCTGATTTATTTCACTTAGCATAATGTCTTCTAGGTTCATCTGTGTTGTCAAAAATGACAAAATTTTCTTCTTTTTAAGGTTGAATAATATACCACTGTGTATATATACCACATTTTCTTTTTTTTCTTTTTTTTTTTTTTTGAGACTGAGTCTCGCTCTGTGGCCTAGGCTGGAGTGCAGTGGCGCAATCTCGGCTCACTGCAAGCTCCGCCTCCCGGGTTCAGGCCATTCTCCTGCCTCAGCCTCCCGAGTAGCTGGGACTACAGGCACCCACCACTACGCCCGGCTAATTTGTTTGTATTTTTAGTAGAGACGGGGTTTCACCGTGTTAACCAGGATGGTCTGGATCTCCTGCCCTCGCGATCCGCCCGCCTCGGCCTCCCAAAGTGCTGGGATTACAGGCGTGAGCCACCGCGCCCGGCCTTATATACCACATTTTCTTTATCCAGTCACCAGTTGATAGACACTTTGGGTGCTTTTATGTCATGGCTGTTGTGAATAATTCTGCAATAAACATGGGAGTACAGATGTCTTTTTGACATACTGCTTTTATTTCCTCTGGATATATATCAAGTAGTGGGACTGTTAGATCATATTATAGTTCTAATGTTAATGGAACCATTTTCTGTAACGGAAGACTGGATGTTTCTATTACTTCTTTCTACTGACATAACTTGGCATCACTAGTCAGCTTTTTTGATTTCTTTGGTTTTTAGAGAGACAGGGTTAGAAAACATAATATTATGGCAACCTATGTCCTATGTTTGTCAGAGTAACTTTCCTTTCTTTAGTCTGGAGTATTTTTCTCCACATGTACTGGTCCTTTTCTTTAGCTCATTGAGGCTATAGCCTAGCTCA